TCATTTTGAATAGTGCTTTCTCGATTATTTGAGCTTGACTGTTGGGATTTAACAAACTGTACTCTCTCTTATTCTGGTTCGACTGGAGAAACGTGTATATGACACTATATAATGACTACAATCAATATAATATTTCCATATTCTCAATCACGCAAAAAATTGAATAAAGGGGGAAAAAACAAAATTTAAAGGAAAAAATATCTTTCGGCTCAAGTCTATGCAAGTTCTTATTTATTCACGCAATATCTGGCACAAGTCACACAATTTCTCGTACAAGTCATTTTTTAACTACCTATATTCATATTTAAAGATAATTAAAGAAATACGTTTTAGTAACTATCTATTATAAATGCAGTCGTTTCTGTTTCAAAATACACACATCCCATTGGCCCAATTACAAATTGTCCTTCTCTCTCTAGAATGTGTGATCGCTTTTCGTCAAATCTTTTCAATCACCTATGCCCTTCTTGATGTCTTCGGACTCTTCCAAGAATTGCTTCCCACCGGAATCATACTCTCTCTCACCTCTCTATCTTTCTTAGTGATAGTAAAATGGCTCGTCGGCTCGAAAAGCTCGTAGCTCAGCCCGGAAAAAGCCCTAGCCAGGCCGGCTCGTGGCTTGGTGGGACCAAGCCCCATTTTTGGGGTGTAGACTCGAGTCAACCCGGCCCGACCGTGAGCCTAAAAAAACACTTGCATGCCACTTCTTCTTTTAATTTTAGGTGTAATTTTTTTATATCTTAATATTTAGTTATTATTTATAATATTAATTTTTTTCATTTCAATTTATCGTTAATTTTTTATATGTTAATATTTATTTATTATTTATAATACATATAAATTGCTCAAAATTTAAATTCTTTAAAAAAAATTTAGATTTGTCATGAATCAAAAAATAAAAAAAACTTCTCGGCTCGGCTCAAACTATTTTTAATCGAGCCGAGCCCGAGCAAAAAGTTTCGGCGTCGGCTCGGTTCGGCTCATTGACACCCCTAATCTTTCTACACAAATTCTTTGATTGAATAGTCATTCCTTCGTGCACCGCTCTCATTTGTACCTAGCCTTGCATATAGCCTTTTCGCATTCTATGTGATGCCATGCGTGTGCTTGCTCTTTAGGGCATGTTTGAGCCACATTTTTATTGTAGAATGCATTTTGAATTAGTAAATTGGTGGAGCATGCGTGATTAAAAATGAAAGAAAGGTTTTTGGATTGCATGCAATATTATTTTATTGAAAAACGTGTGATTGAAAATAATACAAAAAAATGAGAGTCAAACAAGTTTTTAATGTATACAAGGAACTTTTTATCACACAACTTGTTTGTTGTAAGACAAATTTAATTCCACATGTGAATTCCATCAAAAATAGATTTTCAATTGGTCTAATTTTAAGCTAAATTAGGTTCATTTTCAAATCAAAATAAAGATGATATATAATTAATTAATGGTGTCAAAAATAATTAATTTAATTTTTAAAAATCAATTATTATAGGTTCTCTATCAATATTTTGTATATTCACAATATTAGTCCAAATTCTTTAAAAATACATTTTTTTTTTCAAAAATCATTTTTAACTGTATATTCTCTCAATAAAATAATTTTGTATGTAAATTTATAACATTTTCTTATTTTTTAACCATACACCTTTCAATAATATATCAAAAAATGTATTCTCGGGAATCTAAGCCCCGTTTGGCTCCCATTAATTGAAGTTTTAATGGTTGGAATAATATTTTTTTTGAAAAATGTATGATAAAAAAGAAAAAAAAAGTATTTGAATTATGTATAATATTATTTTATTAGAGAATATGTGGTAGATAAGAAGAGAAAAAAAATTATAATTTTAATGGAGCTAAACTGAAGTAACGGTACGGAAATGACAGCTTTCATAATATCGTTCTATGAAGCTCCCTACCCCCACGGTAAAATCTCCATTTCACCCGCCATTTTAGCTGCAAGCACTAGAAATTTTGTAATGTGATTAGAATCAGTTATTTTAGGGTTTACAATGTAGTTGGAGCAATTGAAACTGAGAAATTCATGTGAGAATTAACTGTTTTTTATGAATAAGGCAT